ACATCCTTCATGGCCAACTTCGACGAGTAATTTAAGATGCGCATGAACGACATCGCCAAACTCGACGCGGGCAGGCTAGACAAGACCGTCATGCAAGTCCTGCGGTCCAAGTTTGAGGAACCACGGCGTGAAGCCACTGCCCGTTGCGACGACCTGGCGTCCGAGAACTGCGGCATGGATCGAAGCGTCACCGACCATGGTCGATTATTCACAGAGACGCAATCCCAGATGGAAGAAGTTGGAGGAGGCCTTCGCGCAGGCCAACTCAGCTCGTCCTGCCCCACGCGTGTTCGCTGGCACGGTGCTCAAATTCAACGCTCGCAATCTCGCCTCCCGTCCCGAGGTCGCTGCTGTGCACACGGACTGGAGCGTCGTTATCAGACAGTCCTTTGTTCTCTACATTACAACTGCTGGTGGAGAGAGTTCACCGTGGGCCCCCACTCAGGCGGCACCGCCAAATGACACATCTCAGCTGGCAAGAACCCGGCTCATATCAAGACAGATATCACAGGCCACCAGCTGCGCACTGAGTTCCAGAATGTGCGCGGGCCCGAGCAGCGCATCTCCTTCGACAGGCATCGTGGTTGAATACCATTTGGATGGGGCTGTTTTTTTTGCGAGATCCAGGCGTACCCATGCCGCGAGCTTGCCACCGCGTTGTGGAAGCCTGGCGCCAGTCAGAAGTACGGCGGCTTCGAGGAGCTGCGGTTCTCGTGCTCGACCGTGGGCCTGGGCGGTGCCGTTCGCCAGTTTGCCGCCTTCTCTCGCCCCCGCTTTTCTTTTTTGATCGACTCCTTTCTGCCAGGAGGACTGTGCTTTCACAGTTGGAATTGTCGCGCGCTGCTGCAGTGCGAGGGTGCTCGCGCGCCTGAGAAACTCGCCCATCTGCGGCGTCTAGGACAGGGCCACCCAGTCGCCGCGCTTCAAGTAATTCACCAGTGCGAGCATCAGCTCCGCTTTCTTTTCAAGCGCGTCTCGCCAGAAGCCGCCCATTTTCTAGCTTCTGCGGGGGCGGCCGCACGGGGCGCACTCGAGGTGGGGTCGTCGCGGTTGTCCTTGGAGTTTTGCAAAGCGGTCAGCGTGTCCCCTCTCTTCCCTGCGGCGCCATTGCCTCTCATTCCGCCCCTGCCCCTGGGCGCGCCCTCCGCGTCTCGTTCTCTTGTCCTCGCGCCCAGCTCATTCAAGCGCGCGTGCTCATGCACTGTCACTATTGCAGTTAAGCGATGTGCGCACTCTTTGTATGAAGGGATTGGGCCGTCTCAGAATCGCTTCCTGAATCGCGCCTTCTGGCATGGAGAGTGATGCTACTTCCAAGGAAAAGCAGCGCTTCTCGCAGCCGCTGGAGGCTCAGAGGACCCAGCGCGCCCTTCATGTCAACGCCTGTTGCTGGGCCCACCTCGGGTGCACCATTGGAAGTCGCCCCGTGCGCGGCCACTCGCTATTGCCGCCAGACAGGCTGCGGCGGCGCCGATCGTCTCTAGCGCTCGCGGCCTGGCTGGACGTCGACGCAGATCTACGCTGGTGCCCCCGCGGTCGGAGCCCCAAGGAGTGATCGCGCTGCGTTGCTTGTCCTTTTCCGGCAGAGGGAACCTTGGGAGTACCCGGATCGCCCCCATCAGTACATCTCTGCTGATCCAGAAATGTCGGGAGATCCTCAACAGGCCTGCAGAGTCTGAGAGCTGTTCTCTCGAGGCCATGCATGGCCCCGCTGCGCCGGCTAGAAGGTCATGGATTCTCCTTCCGGGGAGCTGCGCGAAAGATTCGCGATGTGCGCCTGGACAGTCGTCCGCGCGACCCTCGCATTTTTCGGGGGCCTCTAGCCAGAGCCCTTGCGCGTGCTGTCTGGGTGCAAGACGCCCGCGTTGCCGAGCGCCTTCCCGCTGTCGTCGCTGATCTCACCCGCGTCGAATTTACTTCTGCTATACGCGCTCAGCCCGCTGCCTCTGAGAGCTGGGCGAACGCGGCCCAGGTAAGCGCTGGTCAACGCGATCGATCGGACGCTCGCAGCCGCCTCGAGAACGCAGGGGGGGAGTTCGCGCGCAGAGTCGGCGGCAGCTCCGGGCGATTGTCAGGCGCGCGCGCGTGGGCTCCGCTTCGTCGGCGTCTGACGCTCTGCTCTCCGGCTGCTGATGGGGTATGTCCTTATTTTAGGGGGTCGGCTTTCCTGCCTGGCGGACCACTGGGGCTTCATTTTCCCTCGCGCGCCTTGGGCCCAGCGGTCGGCCCCAGCGCGTTGCGACAAGTTCGCGGCGAGAGCTGGCTTCTCCGATTGCCCGCCTCCGACTCCTTCGACGCTGCGCCGCGCTGCCGAGCGCGTTAGTGACTCTGCTCAGGGCGAGGGCCTCTTATGCTGCGCTGCCTGGCTGGCGCGCCCGAGTGGATTGCTCCTTTCGCGCGGCGCCCTGGCGCGGATGGCGGGCGGCCGCGGAGCGTTCCTTGCCGGGGACCTCGCTCTCCAAGCATTTCCCGCGACAGGTGGAGCTTCGACAGATTCGTAGGAGGTGGAGTGCGATCTGGGGGCGAGCGCTGGCCGGGTTCTCGGCGTTCGCAACGCTGGCACCAAGCTTCTGACCGCAGCCGCGAACGCGACGATTCGGCGAGCTCTCGGTCGCGTCGCCCCCGGAGGCCAGCGCGGTCTCGCGGGGGGGGGGGGGGGCTTTCGGCGCGAGCATCTTGGAGGTGGGCGCCTTCGCTCGCGCTGAATCTCCCCGCCCGGAAGCCGGTCGCGACTGCGGGCATGCGTTCGCGAGCGTGTCCCAGGAGTTCGCGCCCCTGCTCTTGCGCCGCGCGGGCCGCCCGGCGGCCCTGCCCGCCTTCGCGCGCGTCTCATGCGACGGGGCGCAGGGGGGCATGGGTTGTCGAGGATTATTGGCTCGTGCTCTCTGGGCTGGGTCTGGGGCCATTCAAGGTCGCGATTTGTCTGGCTCGCTGTTCGCCTTCGCTGCGGCGCTGGCCTTGCTCGACCTTCACTGGTGCTTTGAGGTGCCGACGAGGGGGGGTCAACTGCGCTTGCTCCGACGACTTGGGCGGTGCACTCCCCCCCTTGAGACGCTGATCCAGCTCCCTCGGGCGACGGAGGTCGCTGGGCTGATCGCGCGCGTGACATGAATGCCACCCGAGTGCGCCTTGGCCCCCGCGGCTTCTAAGCTGACCCCCGCCATCAGAGAGGCGGCCCCGAAGTTCCCGCATTCCTTCGCTCACGAGCGGAGCTCGTTCAAAACAGCTGAAAACTCTTCAACCTAGGAACGCGGGTGGGCCCCGGTGCTTTGGCGGGAGATGCTATGCAGCTTCTTCGGGCCAAGTAGAAAACTCGCGTAGCCCTTGTGGGCTCCAGGCTCAGGCGACGCCCCTGCTTCGTCGTCGGCCGCGCTGTGCTCGCCGCGCTCGCGCTGCCTATCTACCGTGTCATACGTCATGCAGCTTCGCCCGATGCCCAGGGTGAAGAAGCGCGATCTACGCGCAGCTCTCGCTCAATGTTTCCGCCTCCTGCTCGGTGTTCTCTGTGCTGCGGATCAACCTCGCTTGCATGATTGGGGTGGCCACGATGTGCGGCCGCTTGAGATTTTGCGCGCGCCGTCTACAGCAAGGTCAGCGGCCGCCACTCCCGCAGCATGATAAAATATACAAGTGGCCCATTCAGATGATGGGTGCACCAAGGAGTGCCGAGCTCGACGAGCGCCGACTTGCTGCGTGCCCCTCTGGTGTTTGTTACCCCGCGCACTGGTGGAACTGGGCGTATGTCGGGTACCTGCATGGCCTCACGGCGGCGGAGGCTGCGCGATCCTGCTACGATAGGAAAATCCAAAGCGCCGTTAAAGTAGCATGTCTGAGCCTCTGGCCTGGGACTGCCCCTTGCGCGGCTTCTTTATCGGCTTTTGAAGTGGCGGCACACTCGGGCTGCTGTGATCGGGAGCATCTCCTGGGATAGAGCCCGTGCCCTTTTAGGAAAGGCGCCGTCGCCCTCGGCCTGGGCCTACGCGAGGACCCTCTCTGGTGCCTGGATTGCAGTACCTTTCACCGCGTGCTCTTCCCTCATGGCCGCACTTCGCGCATTTGTTGATGCGAAGGGCTCCCAGATAGAAAGTGGTATTGTGCCGAGTATCCCAGGCTTGCGCGGTCTGTTTCGACCGTGTTCCGATATAGGGCCGTGTCTCCCGACCCCACTTCAGAGACGGGGGACCCTAGATACCCATGTTTATCATGAGCTGCGCCTCTTGTTTCCGAGGTTCTCATGCGGGTGCAGGTTTATCTTGATGCCGCTCGCGCTGCAATCCGAGCTCTCAGGCTTACAAGGCCCGAGGGCGGTGCTGCGAGCTCGGCGGGTGGGTAGGGTGGTCGTGGATTTGAACCTCGTCCTACGGTTGCCTCCTCCTCCTCCCCCTCCTCCTCCTCCTCCTCCTCCTCCTCCCCTATTTTGTTGTTGTTCCTTCCCCTCCTCTTCCGGCTTCTCCCACTCGTCTCGTTCCTCCCTTTGTTGCTGTTTTTTTTCCGCAACCAGTTTGGCGGAAGCGCGCCCCCCTGGGTGCAGCCCCGGGAGCCCGCGCTTGGCAGGAGGGCGTGCGTTTCCCGAGCGTCAGGCAGTGTCAACGGGGGGTCATCGACGAGGGGGGTCGCCAGCTATTCCTGACGTTCGAAGTCAGAATCGGGTCGGATTTAATATTTCGTGCATGTGTTTTTGTTGCGTGTGTCTTGCGAAAAGGGGGCGTCGGGGTTCCTGACGGGGACTTCCCCCCCCGAGGAATTGGCGACCACCCTACGGCTCACAGCAGGCACATCCAACAAGAGACGGACTTGCCTGCAGGTGCCCCATAGACGTGGGTCATCTTTCGATGGCCCCAATGACCCACAGAAGCTCCAGGGCGCTTTGGGAGCCTCAAGAAGATTGACGAAGAATGTGCACCACAACTTCTTATAGGAAGATTTGTGATCGTACGTGTCCACTGTAGCGGTGCCCGCGGTGCCCCCCCGTGGAACTTCCTGGCAAGCTGGGGAGCGGCGCCATGCGCAGCCTGGCCAGTACTGGCGGGGGGTGGGCACGGGCGCGCGCCGCCCTGGCCGAGTTCGGGGGCGCCAAAGACGGGGGTGGGGATAGGTGTGTGTGTGTATATGCGTGTGAGAAGGTGAGGTGAATACGGTCGAAAAATTGAAAGAAGGACCACCTCGGGCCCTGGAGTTGCAATGTTTTTCTGGCTGCTCCTCAGATCGAGGTCGGGGGACCCATTCGTGGCCGAGGCTCGCCGTGGCCAGACAAGTCCCGTCGTTCCTCGGGCAGCACGATGATTGCGTCGTGGCCAGGGCCATGACGCCTCCCAGATTCTATGGCCCCTCCTTCTCTTTGCGACACGGCCCCCCCTGCCCCCCCCTTGTCCGCGCACGCGCATCGGGCCATGATGTGGGTCACCCTCGGAGGTGGGGGGGAGTGCGAAGATGATCGCTTTTCGCGCGACGCGGTCTGCGCCATAGCGGCCGCCCTTCCCCAAGGGGTGCGGCGCGGGGGATCCAGGGCACGAAGAGAGTCGCGCGTCGCGGGGGCTCGAGTCGCTGGTCGGCGGCGAAACCAGTCCAGGGGAGACCAGCCGCCAGCGAAACGGGACGGGCGCGAACGGCGCCGACGCCTTTTTCTTGGCCCCCCCTCGTCCGCGCACACGCCCCAAGGCATGTTTTGAAGAGACGGTTCCCGCGTTCTCCTCCTTCCTCCCTCCTCCCCCCTCCTCCCTCCTCCCATCGTCATCATCATCATCATCATCATCAGCAGCATCAGCAGCATCAGCATCAGCATCATCAGCATCATCAGCATCATCAGCATCATCATCATCATCATCATCATCATCACCATCATCATCATCATCATCACTCAATCAAACAATCAATCAATCAATCAATCAATCAATCAATCATCATCACCACCATCACCATCAGCATCGCCGTCGTCATCGTCATCGTCATCCCCGTCATCAGTGGGGGTGCCCGCACGCGTCCGCCAAAACCCGTAAGGTGTTTCGTGGCCCCATAGGGAGTTCCATTTGCGGCCCCTGTGGGGGTGCGTGGCCCCATGGGGAGCTCCACGTAAGCCCCAGTAAGGGTGCCCACATGCGTCCGCCACACCCAGTGCAGCGCTCCGTGGCCCCATGGGGAGCTCCACCTCTGTCCCCAGTGGGTGTGGCCACATGCGTCCGCCACACACAGTACAGCGCTTCGTGGCCCCATAGGGAGCTCCATCTAAGGCCCCAGTGGGTGTGGCCACATGCGTCCGCCACACCCATGTCGACACACTCGCGTTTCGTAGCCGTGTGAGGAGCTCCACCGAAGGCCCCAGTAGGTGTGGCCACATGCGTCCGCCACACCCACTACAGCGTATCGTGGCCCCACCCCATAGGGAGCTCCACCGAAAGCCCAGTGGGGGTGGCCACATGCGTCAGCCACACCCAGTACAGCGTTTAGTGGCCCCATAGGTAGCTCCACCCAAGGCGCCAGTGGGGGTGTCCGCATGCGTCCACCACACTCAGTACAGCGTTTCGTTGCCCCATAGGGAGCTCCACCTAAGGCCCCGGGGGGGGGTCACTTGTGTCCTCCACGCCCAGTTCAGCGCTTCGTGGCCTTATAGTGATCTCCACCGCAGGCCCCTTTTTTGCCACATGCGTCTGCCACTCTCAATACAACGTTTCGTGGCCCCATAGGGAGCTCCACCGAAGGCCCCAGTGGGGGTGCCCGCATGCGCCCGCAGCACCCAGTACAGCGTTTCGTTGCCCCATAGGGAGCCCCATCGAAGCCCCCAGTGGGGGTGCCCGCATGCGTCACACGTTTCATGACCCCGTAGGGAGCTCCACCGAAGGCCCCAGTGGCACCGTCCACATGCGTCCCCACACCCCTGTCGGCACACCCCTCACACGCTTCGTGGCCCCATAGGCTTAGCCGAAGGCCCCAGCGCCACAGTACACATGCGTCCCCAACACCCATTTCGGCACCCCCCTCATACGCTTCGTAGCCACATAAGGAGCTCCACCGAAGGCCCCAGTGCCACCGTCTACATGCGTCCCCCACACCCATGGCGGCACCCCCTCCAACGCCTCGTGGCCCCATAGGGAGCTCCACGGAAGGCCCCAGTGGCACCGTCCACATGCGTCCGCCACACCCATTTCGGCACACCCCTCACACGCTTCGTGGCCCCATGAGGAGCTCCACAGAAGGCCCCACTGGCACGGTCCACATGCGTCCGCCGCAGCCATTTCGGCACCCCCTCTCACACGTCGCGTGGCCTCACAGGGAGCTCCGCCGAAGACTCCAGTGCCACCGTCCACATGCGTCCCCCACACCCATTTGGGCACACCCCTCACACGCTTCGTGGCCCCATAGGGAGCTTAGCCGAAGGCCCCAGCGCCACAGTCCACATGCGTCCCCCGCACCCATTTCGGCCCCCCCCTCATACGCTTCGTAGCCCCATAAGGAGCTCCACCGAAGGCCCCAGTGCCACCGTCTACATGCGTCCCCACACCCATGGCGGCACCCCCTCCAACGCCTCGTGGCCCCATAGGGAGCTCCACCGAAGACCTCAGTGCCACGGTCCACATGCATCCCCCTCACCCATTTCGGCACACCTCTTACACGTTTCGTGGCTCCGCCGAAGGCGCCAGTGCCTCAGTCCACATGCGTCCGGTGCACCCATTTCGGCACACCCTCACACGCTTCGTGGCCCGATAGGGAGCTCCACCGAAGGTCCCACGCCCATTTCGGCACCCCCCTCACACGCTTCGTGGCCGCATAGGGAGTTCCACCGACAGCTCCAGTGCCACCGCCCACGTGCGTCTCCCACATTCATGCCGGCACCCCCCTCACACGTTGCGTGGCATCATAGGGAGCTCCACCGAAGGCCCCAGTTCCACCGCCCGCATGCGTCCGTCGCACCCATTTCGGCACATCCCTCACAGGGTTCGTGGCCCCATAGGGAGCGCCACCGACGAAGATATGCACAATTTCGGTATTCACAACTGCACATGGTTGAGTCTTTCGCTAGGCTAATGTTAAACAAATGCGATTTTGAAATCTTGACACAACCGAATGTTTTGTTTGCAAGGATTCCAGCATGCGCGCGCACTTCGTCCCATCAGTTGCAAGGGATTATTGAGACAGCGCGAGGGCAGGGGCTTTCGCACGATTTCGACACGCGCGGGCGAGCGGCCAATTTGGACGCATTTTGCGAAAATGTTGAAACACCAGCGGTTTCCCTCAGAATTCGCAAGCGCGCGGGCGCAAACTTGTTTTGGACAATTGTGTTGCAAAACCATGTGCTCTTACATGTCTTCGCGACGCTCGTTTGTGAACTCCTTTCGCAACCTGTTCAGGTTTATGCAGGATTCCGGCATGCGCGCGCGACGACGCGCGCGCGCACTTCCTTTTGTTTTTTGTATAAACGAGCTTTGAGAACCGGTGATTTGGTATAAATGAGGGCGCGCATATATTTTGCTGGGATGGCAGGGGGGGTCGATACTCGCCCGTTCGGCTGGGATGGTATGAGTTTGTTTTTTGGGATGGACGATGCGGTAAGACCACATAAATTACATCTCGCGAGGGGGATCATTAACTCCGGGGGAGGGGGGGGAGATCCGAATACATTTTTGTTGAAAGGTGCATTCATTTCTGCTCGCAGTGAGTTGCCCACTCCACTGCTCGCGTAGTCATCCCACCCACCCACCCGCAATCTGGTTTGCTGAGCCCATGCGGCGGCGAATCTGATTGAGTGTTTGGCGTTGGCTGGTGCACCTCTGCGGCCGCACTGGCCCGCGTATGCTCGCGCGCGCAGCGGCCAGATAGTTTGGCGCGACCGACGCGGCCGCGGTGGGGCTGACCGCTGGGCACTTCCCAGCGGGCACTTCAGTGCGAGTCGGCGTCTTGGGCGGGCGTGGTTACATGGCAACGGCGACATCGGTCGACGCGATGATGATGGCACCGATGTTGGTGACGATGGTGACAATGACGGCGGCAAGGCCAGTGACGGCGCCGATGCTGATCAAGTGTTGACGATGACGGCGCCCTCGCGTCGATGATGAAGGTTTTGGAGGGAGTTCGACATGCGCGCGCGGCCGACACGCGAAAGTGGCCCGCATGGTGTTGTTTGACACGGATCGTGCCCCCCAGCACGCGCGCAAGGGCTTTCGAATGATTTTGGCATGCGGCGCGAGAGGCCCTTTTGGCGGAATTCAATGAACAGGTTGAAAGCCGATGGTTTTCTAAAAAAGACGCGCAAAAGCGCGAGCACAGTTTTTCTTACAAGCTTTGATGTAGAAGAAAATCTTGGTGCAAGGCCATCAGTGTTTTATCTGATTTCCCGACACTCGACTTTGACATCCTTGCAACATTTTAGTTGTTTGAAGGGTGTCGGCATGCGCGCGCGACGACGCGCGAGCATATACTTCATCCCGTCTGTTGCAAAAGGGGTCTTTGCGACGGCACGCGCGCAAGGGCGTTCGAGCGATTCCGACATGCGCGCGCGAACCCCCCTTGATAGCAACGTATGACCATGTTGAAATCAATGGTTCTCTTGAGAAATCGCAAGAGCCCGGGCGCAAACTATTGTTGAACACGTTTGCGGCGAAGTCATGCGTTTGTCTCAACAGTCCCTTGGTGTTGGGCCCTCGTTTTGAAATCGCAGCGCCACGCGTCTCTTTCCTCTTTCTCCTCCCCCTCCTTGCTTCTGTCCTCCGCATGTTTCTGTTCTGGCACACCCAGTACAGCGCTTCGTGGCCCCTGTGGAGCCCCACCGAAGATACCAGTGGCGGAACTCGCATGCGCCCCCCCCCCCGCCCAGTACAGCGCTTCGTGGCCCCACGGGGAGCTCCACCGCAGGTCCCAGTGGCGCAGCCTGCATGCATCACCCCCACCCAGTACAGCATGTCGTGGCCCCATGGGGAGCTCAGCCGAAAGTCCCAGTGACGGAACTCGCACGCGCCCCCCCCCCCCCCACCCAAAACACCGCTCCGTGGCCCCATGGCCCATAGGGAAGTACATCGAAGGTCCCAATGGCGGAATTGGCATGCGTCCCCCCCACCCAATACAGCGCTTCGT